CATCGCTTCGAGGTGCAATCAGAAGCGGATGTTGGAGTGAAAATTGATTTGATCGATCCACTCACGTACTCGATTCCCGTCAGACCATTGGAGGTGTGGTATTTTAAATAAATAAAAAAAATCAATAGGTAAGTTTTGAATTAGAAACCTTACCTATTGATTTTTCGAAAGTGGTGCCATGGATGAGAAAGCCGAAAGTCAAAAGTCAAAAGTCGAAAGCCGAAAGTCGAAAGCCGAAAGCCGAAAGTCGAAAGCCGAAAGTCGAAAGTCAAAAGTCGAAAGCCGAAAGCCGAAAGTCAAAAGCCGAAAGTCAAAAGCCGAAAGTCAAAAGTCAAAAGTCTCCACACTAAACCTATTCCTCAATTGATCAGCTCAAAATTTTGTGCGAAAAACTTATGCATTTGAAGTATGCAAATAGAATTACTCACTAGAATAATCTTTTGAAAGTCAGTTTGAGAAAGAAAGTCTTTTTTTCTTTCAGTTAAATCAAACGGACGCAATTCTCGTCTCCGATGAAACATCAGGAGCTTTGAATAATTCACGGTAGAAGTTCTCGGCAGAAAGCAAAAGAAATCCTTATTTTATAGATCTCTTCAACACTCGAAAGTGGTGCCATGGATGAGAAAGACTGAGTATATCTCATCCGAATTCAATAGGTGAACAAATTTTTCTTTATGAATTTACTTGTTAAAACAATTATAACTGAATTATGATTGGATTAGAAAAAAAAGGCATTTGTTGGAGTTGTTAAGTAGAGATGTTTCAGATTTGGTGTCACAGCGAATCGTCAAGAAACTCGCGTTGGTTACAAGATGCAAAAAAACAAAAAAGACGAGCTAACCTATCAAGATCGACAATCAAAAGTTGATGCGATTGCGAAGACATTTGTTGACGTAAGGAAATGAAATTCTATTTTTATGGAATGATTTTGAATTCAGGTCAAAAAGAAGGTCACCAAGCATTACAACAAGAAAGATGTGTATGCAGTGGAAGAGCTTCCATTGTTGCCCGATGTTGAGGTGAGGTTTTTGAAAGCTTATTGGTGGATCCACCATTGGTAGATCTACAATTTGCGACTAATTCAAGTATTTATAGCATCAAATTTCAGCTCTGGAAGTACTCATTTGCTTTGGTGCAATTCGACGCGGATCCAAGTCCATCGGGTGTCAACGAGACGATGAAAAAGACCGTGATGGGACAAGGACAGATACGGTAAGTTGTCTAGTTTTAGAAAATAAAAGAAAACTTGGATAAATCTATAAATCTTGAAATTCAAGACTTTTCCTTGAGGTGAAGTTTCTAAAACAAGTACAATCAGTAAACTTTGGCGAAAAGGGAAAGGATAATAAGGGAAAAGATAATAAGGGAAAAGATAATAAGGGAAAAGATAATAAGGGAAAAGGATAATAAGGGAAAAGGATAATAAGGGAAAAGGATAATAAGGGAAAAGGATAATAAGGGAAAAGGATAATAAGGGAAAAGATAATAAGGGAAAAGAATAATAAGGGAAAAGAGTTAATTCTAACATTTAATATGTAAATTTGTATCCTAAAAATAACTTTTTCCTTATTTCAGCGGTATGCAAGACGCGTCTGGCGAGCAATTCGTCACTTATTTCTGCCCTAACGACGAGACATTGCAAAAGAGATACGATGATAAGGAAAAGAAAAGATTATACGATCCAGAAATGATGTAAGTTGTTAGATAAAGGCTTTAAAATCTATTTATCTTTATAAGCAAAACTTTTTAGTTACGAGTATCCACAGTGTCGCGAGTACACATGGAACGTTCGAAACAAGGGAACGAAAGGGTTCATTCAAGTGGGATTCAATAATTAATAGCGTAAATACTGTAATAGTACCCGACCCCCATAATGACGGTGCGAAGCGTTGCGTAGACTAGCTTTGAACGCGCTTTTCTCGACACTGGTTTATGCTACAATGCGCGCTTAGGTATCAAAAAATTGCTGAAATTCAGAGCTATTTTTTGATACCAAAGACGCATTTTTGAAAGTACGGGCGCTTTGAAAAAAAATGAAATACTAAAAAACTTTTGCGACTACGCGACTGTACGTGGGGGGTGGGGTACTATTACAGTATTTACGGTAGTTACCGTAATACAGGTGCCACGGTAGTTTATTGAGATAGAGTATTTGAATATTTTCTTTAAAATTTCAGGACAGTTATTTCTTCTCTTTCCGCGATGAGGGAATCTACTACAACGAGCTGGGCACGAGCGTGAAATTGACGCGAAGAAAGCACACAATGCACAAGGTACAGTAATTAAAAAGAATATTATATTCATTTATATTCTATTGATAGGTAGACACGTATGCAAATAGCTTAAGAATTATTTAAAGATTTGAAATAAGCTATTTTAGAGAGCTGTGCTTGCGTTGACTCATTGTGAACCATCTGAGGACGAGGTGCTGCAATTGGATCAACGGGTGAGTGTAAGAGAGATAAAAATATGATTGAAAGATATTTATTTCACATATTACTGTACCTTTTTAGTTGATATTGAACATTTGAAAAGTAGGTTACTGTATCTTTTCTAGCTGGCGACTTTACTGCAACGAGGAGTAGAAGAAGATGAAGCGGACGGAGAAGAGAGTGACGGAAATGAATCGGATGAGGAGAAATCGGATGAAGAAGATGATGATGAGGAGAAGAATGAGGAGAGTGAAAAGGAGAGTGAAAAGGAGGAGACACCGCCGAGAAGAGGAGGAGCATCGGCTGAGATTGTTTCGAAGAATGGTGGGTGAAATGTGAATAGATTTCTAAAGTGTGCAAACTTTCGAAAACTCTCGTTACCTAGCCTCATTTTTATTCAATTTTGTCTCTTTTGGTATTAAACTATCAGAGAATCAGCTTAAAATTATAGATTAAAAACGAGAGAGAAAGATTACCGTAAATACTGTAATAGTACCCCACCGCCCCTCGTACAGTCGCGTAGTCGCAAAAGTTTTTTAGCATTTCATTTTTTTCAAAGCACCCGTACTTTCAAACAAAGCGTCTTTGGTATCAAAAAATAGCTGAAATTCAGGGCTATTTTTTGATACCTAAGCGCGCATTGTAGCATAAACCAGTGTCGAGAAAAACTCGTTCAAAGCTAGACTACACAACACTCCGCAACGTCATTATGGGGTGGGGTACTATTACAGTATTTACGCTAGGATATTTTTCAAAAGTTGATACATTTTTAGAAGATGAATTGGTAAAGAAATAGATATTTTAGTGGAAAAGAAGATAGAAAATGTTTAAATGAAGTTATAGTTACGATTTTCAAAGTTTAGCTCAAAGAAAACAATTGAAATTTGAACAATTTCCAGAATCAAGTACCGATGACGATGACTCTGATTGATTCATCAACGACAGAGAAATCTCTATTTTATATGTTTTCCCTATTTTGGTCTCAAAATTCGACACTATTTTCGATGCTAATTTATCTAATCACCTTATTGTACTTATTTCTTTCTTTTTTCGTTCCTTTTTTGTCCCATGTTCAGGAAAAATTTATATCATTTGAAAATCCATCAACAATAGCACAATGGAAAATGTGTGTAACCCGTATTAATCAAGAAATAAATCGAGAAATAAATCAAGAAATAAATCGCAAACTTTGAACTGAATTTGATATGGAGATAAAAACTAAAAGCTCTAAACTTTCAAAACAAAAATCGTAATGGAAATCAATTTCAATAAATAATTTCTTACCTCTTTACTATTCTTATTCTCAACTTCTTTCAATATCGGTTGTATATAAGAATTTTTGGGAATCGATTGCGATTGAATCGATCGAATCGATTGAATCGATTGAATAGATTGAATCGATTGAATCGTTTGAATGCGATTGAATCGATTGAATCGATTGAATAGATTGAATAGATTGCTATTGAATCGATTGAATCGATTGAATCGTTTGAATCGATTGAATCGATTGAATAGATTGAATAGATTGCTATTGAATAGATTGCTATTGAATCGATTGAATCGATTGAATCGATTGAATCGTTTGAATCGTTTGAATCGATTGAATCGATTGAATAGATTGAATAGATTGCTATTGAATCGATTGAATCGATTGAATCGTTTGAATCGATTGAATCGATTGAATAGATTGAATAGATTGCTATTGAATAGATTGCTATTGAATCGATTGAATCGTTTGAATCGTTTGAATCGTTTGAATCGATTGAATCGATTGAATAGATTGAATAGATTGAATCGATTGAATCGATTGAATCGTTTGAATCGATTGAATCGTTTGAATCGATTGAATCGTTTGAATCGATTGAATCGTTTGAATAGATTGAATAGATTGAATCGATTGAATCGATTGAATAGATTGAATAGATTGAATCGTTTGAATCGATTGAATCGATTGAATCGCAATCATGCAATTGAACCGATTGAATCGATTGCTATTGAATCGATTGAATGCGATTGAATGCGATTGAATCGATTGCTTGAAATTCTTGGTTACATATGGAGATGAGACGACACAAGGTATCACAATGATTTCTGTACAAAATTTAACATGAAAATCCAAGATTTCGATTTGTTTTCAATCAAAATTGGAGATGGACAAAGAGAATGAACAAAATTTTAATTGTAAATCTGGATAAGCTTTGTTTGCTCAAATCGGTAAAATCAAAAAAGTTTATCAAAGAACCAAGACTGAAATACTTGCAAGTATTTGATAGCTATTTGATGAATCATTAATTTTTACGTCAAACAAGTTCTCCTAAAATGTTTTTTATAGTTTTCAACTATAAAAACTCAAAAGCATTATTGTCTTGTTGTTGATTTATCGATTCAAAATTGTTATGTAGCTTTGTGGGAAGAGTGTTCGGTCGACGACGGCGCGCAGGGACCACGAATTCAGGGTTCATTTCATTCGCTTGAACATTTGTCGATGAAAACCTATTGAAACCAAATGAAGTCTCCGGGAAACTGGAAATAAAAGATTTCAACTTTTGAAAACAAAAGTTTGACTCACTTGCTCAATGGATCCTGGAATTGCTCGATCTGCTGTCCACAGATCTGTTGTCCACAGATCTGCTGTCCACAGCTCTGCTGCTCACTCGAATCCACAGTTATTAGAGTATCCTGATTGATCATTTCAATATAAAGCATCATCTTTTTTGTTTTACCTCTTTACCATTCTCATTCCCAACTTCTTCCAATATCGGTTGTATGTAGGAGTTCTTGGGAATCGATTGCGCGAAATTCTTGATTACATATGGAGATGAGACGACACAAGTGAACTCATCAGTATCGATCCCGAAACTCTCATTCATGTGAAGCATTTCTTTTGACGAGCTCGGTGAGTTGAGACCAGTTGTTACCTAGGTTTTGGAAATGGTTTTGGAAATGGTTTTGGAAAGAGATAAAGTCTGCATCAAGATTTACAAGTATCTATTCGGTTGAGTCTTTCATTCAAATTCATTTTCTAATTCAATAAGTCTCTACCAAATAAAACACGGCTTAGATAACCCAATAATTTCTCTTGCAAATGGCTTTTAAAAGCTTTATTTTGAAAGTTTTTCATTAACAAGAAGCCGAGTGTTCAAAACCGATGGTTCAATGATGCGATTTGAACCGTTTCTTTCAATGAAACCTACAAAAACATACCGTAAATACTGTAATAGTACCCCACCCCCACGTACAGTCGCGTAGTCGCAAAAGTTTTTTAGTATTTCATTTTTTTTCAAAGCGCCCGTACTTTCAAAAAATGCGTCTTTGGTATCAAAAAATAGCTCTGAATTTCAGCAATTTTTTTGATACCTAAGCGCGCATTGTAGCATAAACCAGTGTCGAGAAAAGCGTGTCCAAAGCTAGACTACGCAACACTCCACACCGTCATTATGGGGGTGGGTTACTATTACAGTATTTACGGTAATCTAATTACATTATTAAAGCTTTAAATTTTCTTGTAAAGATTATCTATTCGATTCTTTAACTTCTCTACCGTAATTTCAGATCTTGGTGTCTCGACACAGGGTGTTTGTTGGGCTGTCGACGGCATTGATAGATTTTTATCGGGAATCGGTTGTGATCGAATGATCGGATCGTCGGCCAACTTTTGCAACCAATGAATGATTGTGGTGAAGGTGGGACGGGTTTCCACTCTCGTTTTCCAACATTGCAACATGATTTGATGGATCTGAATCAAATTTTCACAGGTTTTTGACGAAAAAAAAAACCTGAGATGGAGTGCCAATTGGCGGTTCGAGTCGTCCACCCTTTGAAATCAAATCAAGGACCTCCATGTTGTTTCGGCCTGGATATGGCATGTAGCCAAGAGAGAACACTTCCCACGTTAAAATCTAAATTTATGCACTAGCTACCGTCATCTTTCCTTCTTATTTTCTCCGTTTTAATTCATTCAACAACAACAAAAATTATCTAGATTGATTAGTGGAAACCATTATATCTTTCTTTCTTTCTTTCTTTCTTTCTTTCTTTCTTTCTTTCTTTCTTTCTTTTCTTTTTCTTTTCTTTTTCTTTTCTTTTCTTTTTCTTTTCTTTTTAACAATATAAAAAGGATTCTACAATGATTACTTCTGAATGGAATATAGACGTTTCAAAAACGCATCATAAAACGAATTACAATGATTACTTCTGAACAAAAAAAAGAAATATAGACGTTTCAAAAACGCATCAAAAAACGACTTAGTGGCGGCTTAAACTTATAACAAAGGATTATTTTTGGCCTAAATTGTTGACAAATCAAAAGTCCAATCTTAATGAAAGCAATTTACAAAAAACTAAAACAAATTTGGTGAACTATTCGATTATAAAAATTCATTTGAAGAGTGATTATTTGAAGAAAGAATCAAGAACAAGACAATAATGCTCAAAAAAGATCAAAATTCGGTTTTTAAGCTTATTTTCAAAAATTGTTTCAACAAAAAGTAGGCAACGAACAAATCTAATTTCTATATTATTTGTTTTAGTTAGTAAACTTCTTTCATTTCATATTATTTATAAAATATTGATTGAAAAACCGTAGAGAAATCTCTTGAGTTGAAATTCGGCATTTTTGATGGTTGAAAATTCGACTACCTTTTACCCCATCAGATTGAAAAGCCGTAGAGAAATCTTGAGTTGAAATTCGACCTGATCCTGACCCCATCAGATTGAAAAGCCGTAGAGAAATCTTGAGTTGAAATTCGACCTGATCCTGACCCCATCAGATTATTTTTTGTTTCGGTCGTTGAAGAGTTTTCTTATGGGAGAAAAGTTCGAGAATCATGCACAGATCAAAAAAGCAGTCGGCAAGCGTTCCAAAAGGAAGCTTCGTAAAAAGCTTTATATATTTTTATATATAAAGCTTATTTCTTTATATATTTCTTTTATATAAAGCTTATTTCTTTATATTTTATATATTAAAATAAAAAGAGAAGATATTAATCAATCGCGGATTATCATCGGAATCATATAATGGCTTTGACCAGCAATTTCTTTTGCAAGTAGTCTAATATTCAGTTTGATTCAATGAGTTAATAAATAAGTAAAATAAGACAAAATCTAAAGACAGATTACGGTATCTTTACAAGATAAAACTTTTAGAAAAGAGGTACAATGTGAATTGGTACTTTTTGTAGATTTTACTTTGATCTGTGCCGATCTTTAATGGGTTAATGTACAAGCTAAAAGCTATTCCATTTACTTATTAGCATTTCTTTTAAGATATTCTCAAATTAAGCTCGTATTATCAACACTCCAACATACCCCAAACGACCAGACATCGGTTTTTGTGGTGAAATAACCGTCCAATAGAGCTTCAGGCGGCATCCATTTCACTGGCAACAATGCTCGACCACCCTTTCGATAGTAATCGGTTCTAGAAAAATCGTGTTCGAATCATTTCATTGTCTTTTTTTTTAAAATTTTCAATTAGCTCACCTGTACACATCCCTAGCCATTCCAAAATCCCCAATTTTCACGACTCGATCATGGGCTTGTGAGGTGAGGAGACAATTTCGGGCAGCTAAAAAGCCGGGAGAAGTTTAAAATCAAAATCCTATCTTTAAGTGGTTCATTGCTTTTTTCACAAACCGATATCCCCTGTGAATGAATTTGTTGGCGGCAAGGAATTCACATCCTTTTGCCACATCGAGACACATCGACACAAGATCCAACATGAGGAGATTGTTCGGATTTGGATCGATCTGAGACTTTTGCTTGTAGAATTTGATTTCAAAACAAAACCGGTTTCTAGAATGTGAATACATCTATTCCATTGCTCTAGTTCTACTAATCAATCGTCAAAACTTCACTCAAAATTCCCTTTTCAAATCCATCTCACCGAGCCACTAAAAAAGTTACCTAACTCTGGCAGCCTAAAAATTGGAAAAATGTTGAGGAAATCGGTGCGCGTTCATTCTATTTCGCGCCCCAAATCATTTATTGTTTTGTAGCTTTTTAGCTGAGTATCTTGTGTTAAAGCCTATATAAAGCAACTGTTGTTCATTTTGTTTTTGGTTATCTGGGGGTGGGACAAATGCGACCTTTTTTGCGCACCTGGACATTTGCGCACCTTTTTTTTGCTGGAAAAGGCCTTAGGAAAGGTCGTAGAGCTTCAAAAATGTTTTCATAGAAGGGAATCGTATGCGTAGATTCCGAATTTCGACAAATCAGACCTCGCTGACACGTCAAATTTGGGTTAAAAGGCAAAAACTACGCAACTTAACGCTTTTCCGCAGTTTTTGCCTTTTAGCCCAAATTTGACGTGTCAGCGAGGTTCGATTTGTCGAAATTCGGAATCTACGCATACGATTCCCTTATATGGAAAAATTTTCGAAATATTTTCGAAGCTCTACGGCCTTGCCTAAGGCCTTTTCCAGCAAAAAAGGTGCGCAAATGTCCAGGTGCGCAAAAAAAGGTCGCATTTGTCCCACCCCGGTTATCTTTCATTTTCTTTCTGCTTTCCTCTCATTGTATAAAAGTTGTGTCCTAATTAGGATGAAATTGTTTCTGTTTTTTATCGTTGCTTTTAATTCAATTGTCGATCTTGTGTGAAAATTGCTCAAGTGAGAGCCCAAAGATTCCGAGTCAGTCGGCTATTGAATAAAGTGTTTTTAGTTCAAGTGAGATCAGATGTCTCGAAACAAGAAATGTGAAGAGTGAAGGGTACCAAGCACGCGAACAATATTTCTTTACACTCACCTTCGTGGATCTTGATGTCCTCAAAAAGCTCTTCAAATCTCCGCCCTTCATCAATTCTAACACAATATATCTCGGCGTTACATCGAAATTAATCCCGAAAAATGAGACAATGTTATCGTGACGGAATTTACTAAAAATTTTGTTTTTAATTTTGTTCAAAATTTCTTTGTAAACTTCATGATTTGTGCCTCCATAAAAAACTCGTCTTGCGCCTGTTTACTGCTGCTGAATGGGAGGGTTTTCACGGCCACCTTGAAAAGAAAGATTCTTTCTTTTGAGAAAGCTAAGTTTATCTAATCTAATACGAGAATCTTCTCTATATTTTCTAACCTCAATTGTCGTCTGATCGCGTCGCATTTTCGCTTTGAACACCTCGCCGAAAGCGCCGACTCCGAGGGGTCTAAAAGTGGGATATGAAAATATTTACAAAGAGATTTTTCTAGATCAGGCACTGGTATCTGATCAACAAAAGTTTTAGTCAAATTAGTCAGGCTTCAAAACTCCAAATGTCTTCCAAAGGGGCCCCTTGAGAGACCCAGAATAAAGCTTTTTTTTCGGCCACCTGCCGTGGAGCGCCTGTAACCCAACTTCCTGGCCGCTCGTTCGTTCGATGGGAGTAACTAAACCCTCGACGAGAATCCACTTGGGATCTCTAGAGCCAGGTTTAAACCAGGTCTAGTCTAGTCTAGCCTGAGTCTAGCCTATTCTCTTTTAAATTCCCTCATTTGGGAAAACCCTTAGTAAATTCTCTAAACGATTGCTGTATAACAATAAATTCTCGACTTACTCAAGTAGAAGAAGGTTGCTCCTCTCGATTTTTGGCAACTCTTCAATTTGCTCGAGTAAAAAGCGCAACGCGTTGTTATCATCGTTGCTCAGGCGCTGAATTTGCAAATGTTGATTGTTAAGTTCAAAATTTTTGACAGTTTTTTTTGTTTTTTGACAAAATTTAATAAAAACCAAGCGTGAAACAGGCGACAAAACACGTTTTAATCGAAAATCTATATGCCAAAAGACGCGTGATTGTGTGTTCACACAAAGAACCCTCATGCTTTGATGTTTTTAGGTAATTATTTGTAATTTCTAATACACCAATACTATTGATACACCTAAGAAAAGCGTTAAAGAAGAAAATCAGAAAGCTAAAAGATTGTTGTTCTTTGTGCGAGCACATAGAATCGCAAATTTGGCATTTTGACACAAAGTGCTTTAGATTCTTCGCATTCCATTGCTCCACCTCCAACTATTAGGTTGTTCGGATATAAACGAGCGTTTTAGTAGTCGACAAAATTTATCTTAAAAACAGAAGCAACACAGTTTAATCTAAAAATATATTCACCATTACTTCTTGCCATCTTTTGCGCAAAGAATTCATGCCGCTCTTGAAAAAACTCAGCCGGCTGTGACTCGAAAAAATTTGGCGACCCAATTTTGGTCATCTTTACGGTTTTTGAATTTCTCAATGGCCAAAAGTTTTGAATCGACCGGAATCAAAGGTAATCTGAGGGAGCCAAATCGGGAGCATACGGCGGATGTGGTAAAATCTCCCATCCTAGATTCTATAGTTTTTGCTGAGCCATTTTTGCAACGTGAGGTCTAGCGTTGTTATGGATGAACTTTATCTTTGATGTGTCTACTCCGTAACGAATGAGAGCTTCATTGACCCGATCAAGTTGCTGTTTGTAGAGGTCGGATGTGACTGTTTGGCCGGGTTGTAGAAGCTCAAAATAAACAAGGCCCTTGTTGTTCCACCATACTGAGAGCATGACCTTTTTTCCATGAGTGTCCGGTTTCACGGTCGGATTTGGCCGTTCTCCTGGTCCTAGCCATTTCCGTTTTCGAATAGTATTCTCGAAATGGATCCACTTCTCATCTCCAGTAACGAGAGAATCAAAAAAGCCATGATCTTTAGCGTGGCGGATGAGGATTCCGGAAATAGCGACCCGTGAAGCCTTATTTGCACTGCTTAACTTGTGAGGAAGCCATTTCCCGCATCTGATCGTCTTTCCAATGGCGTGGAGATGCTCATCAATGGTAGAATTTGAACATAGAAACTCTTGAACAAGTTCGCGCGTCGTTTGACATGGATCCGGTTCGATTGTAGCCCTCAAAATAACGTTGTCTACCGCTTGAGGTCGACGAGAGTGTTCATCATCCTCGAGACTTTCATCACCATTCGGAACCAGGCTCGGCATCGGCTTTCGGACAAAACATCATTCCCAAATGCTTTGACCAAATCTCGATGGGATTTCGCGACTGTTTTGCCCAGTTTGAAGTCGTAAAGTAGACAGACGCAAACTTGATGTTTCAACTCGGTCATCTAAAGCAAGAAAAAAGCTCTTAAAAATAAGAAATTATACGTTTAAAAAGATTCCAAATATGCGCAAGATAACGTACTTTTAAATACAGAAAGACATGTTTTAAAAGCTTTTCTCATAACAATAAGTTTTACAGCGATTGTTTATATCCGAACAACCTAATATAAAGGAACTATAAAGGAACTAAATACGGCCTTTCTTAAAGCCTTTTCCAGCGAAAAAAAGGAGCATTTGTCGCACCCTCAAAATTCGCGTTTTAAGCAGCCATTTCGTTCAATTAATTGATCTTTTTTTTTGTTTAAAATGATGAAATGTAAAAGGAAATGTTCATATTGTTTAATAGAATAAATTGTAAGATCGATTTACTTGTAACTCTGAAGTGATATTCGCTCGTAGCCTTGCCTCAACCCGTGCTTCCATTTCACAATGATAGGCGTGCTTTTGACGTTGCGCTTTTCGCATTCGACGCTTCATCAAGCCTAAAAGATTCGTGTTTTTTTTTTTGTTTCTTTCTAAATTACCTTCAAACTTTTATGCTACTATTACTTTAAAAAAAAATTGAACGGATAACTTACAGTAACAGCAATAGCCGACCGAGAACAGGAAACACAAAAAGATCAAGAGAAATAGAAGTGCCCGGTAAAACGGTTCTTTGTCACCTAAAAATTTCGATTTTTTTTCTCTTAGTACAGTAGACATTTATGTACATACAGTAAAATAGATATTTATGTAAATCTTTTAAATACTCACTTGCACATAGCTCATTTTCCTCAACCACTACCCCATCAGCACAAGTGCATTTCATTTTCTGATCGACTGGCGTCTCAAAGACACACCGCGCATTTTGTGGACACTGAAATGTTAAGTTTTAAAAAGAAATTGAAAGAAAATGAAATTGAATACCTTTAATTGACAAGCATATATCATAAATGTCCCATCTTTATTGTTTTTCCCAGATCGGAACTCCGTTTGGAGGACTGCATCAGCGTTGGACCAAGAGGAACCACCCCAACCGGCAGTGTCATCTCCCGGTGCGCCACCTGTAACGAGAATTATTATCTACACTACTGGACAATGAAATATCATAATTGAAAAAAGGTCGTCACTTTCGCGCGTCTGTAACTAGACTTCGGAAAACAAAACTTAACCAAAACCAAAACTACCAAAACCAAAACCATAACAAAACCAAAACCAAAACCAAAACTAACCAAAACTCGCCAATATCTCGCGACTGGGAGGAGCTAGCGAAAATCTGTTTGCAGATTTGAAATCAGCATCCAAAAATCTATCCCATAGGCTATTTTTTGTTCCGAAATTTCGAGGTCGTGTTTTTGGTCCTTTTTTCGGCCGCGAGATTTTGTGGAGTGAGAAAAAGTGAAAGGCTAATTTGCATTTTACATTAAAATTTGCATTTTGCAATTTTAAATTTACATGTTAATTTATATGCAAATTGAGTTTTGGTTTGTTTTGGTTTTGGTGTTTTGGTTTTGGTTTTGGTTTTGGTTTTGGTTTTGGTCTGTTTTGGTTTTGGTTTTGTTTGCCGAAGTCTATCTGTAACTCCCTTGTCTTTACCGTATTTTTAAATATTAATATTACCATTGTGTAGCCCTTGAAAAGAGCTTTCAGAAAATGTATAACACTAATAGTTTAAACTCAAAGACAAGGGAGTTACCGACGCGCGAAAGTGGCGATCGTTTTTCAAATATGATAATTTCATTGTCCAGTATTGTAAATACTATTTCAATAGTTATTAAGATTATTATCATGATTTGATAAACTTTAAAAAAAAAAAACTTTTGCTTACCCAAAAACCCTCCTCCACCGCCGGCTCCTTTCCCGCACGAGGCTCCACCTCCGCCAAAACCGCCTTTCGCCTCGACACGTCTAAACTTTTCGATTTAAATCTTTATATGAAATTTAATTAATATATTATACAGTTATGAACAAAAAAAAAACGTTTTTACATCGTTATTATACTATTAGAGAGTGCACTACTATTAGAGAGTGCGCTAGTATTAAAGAGTGCACTACTATTAAAAAGTGCACTACTATTAGAGAGAATACGGTATGCTAATTTGACTCACGAGTCGACACAAGTGCCCCCGTTTGCTGTCTTTTTCTCCCCATTCAACATCGAACAGTCCGAGCAGTTGGAGGCGATTTTCTAAAAAGTTAAAAATAATAGTAGAAAGTTTTTTTTAAAAATAATGATAGAAAAATAATGATAGAAAGCCTTGCCACAATATGTCCAGGTTTGAAAGAGACTCCGAATCCAGAAACATTCTTGTACATGATGATTGAATTATCGATGAAATCTTTTGACTTCTTTATCTCTTCATCTAGATGAGACCACGATTCGTTGGAGTGAGTTCGACCACCGACTGATCTATGATTCGAAAAGATTGTTGAACTGTTACAGTTTTTGCTTTAACTGTAACTGTAACTGTTACAGTTTTGCTTTAACTGTAACTGTTCAAGAGCTGCTACTGTTACAGTTTTTGCTTTAACTGTAACTGTTCAAGAACTGTTACTGTTACAGTTTTGCTTTTAACTGTAACTGTTCAAGAACTGTTACTGTTACAGTTTTGCTTTAAGGTAAAAGCAATACTTTATTGAAATTGATGCTTTGCAATTGTTCAAGTATTAGTATTGAGTTGTTCAAGATTTTCACTCACATATCTTCCGGTATCCCTTCTGTGTGATCGATTTCTCCTTTTGAGAGGAGACCCCCACCACCGCCAGCAACGAGAATGAGAACATCGTTGAGGAAAACCATCGACGCACCGCCACCACCCGAACCCGAACCTCGAGCACAAAGGGGATCCGTTGGATTATGCTGAAAAATAAAAAAAAAAGTACAAAACTAAAACTCTAACTGTGACTTTCCCTTTACCTGACACGAAGTTTCTCCCCGTTGTCCAAGTGACACAGTCAAAGTTTGATAAACGTTGAGATCGACAAGTGAATGTACACATCCACCGAAATTTTTTCCTTGATCAGCGTTTCCTTTATCATTTTTTCCTTTATCAAAGTGACTTCCACCAGCTGCTCCACAAATCTCGATACTTTAAACGAATTTGATTTTTATTTAACATATTTTTACCGATATTGAAGCGCTTCCGAGACTTTCCAATGCTGAATTCCGTTCACAAAATCTGGCACTTTTTCGAGTTTCTTTCCCGTTTTCTTGAGGAATCTAAATTTTGGATAGACTTTAAGTTGTACTACCGTAAATACTGTAATAGTACCCCACCCCCATAATGACGGGGCGGAGTGTCGCGTAGTCTAGCTTTGAATGCGTTTTTCTTGACACTGGTTTATGCTACAATGGGCGCTTCGGTATCAAAAAATAGCTGAAATTCAGGGCTATTTTTTGATTTTTGATTTTTGATACCCCCATAATGACGGTGCGGGGCATTGCGTAGTCTAGCTTTGAACGCGCTTTTCTCGACACTTGTTTATGCTACAATGGGCGCTTAGATATCAAAAATAGCTGAAATTCAGGGCTATTTTTTGATTTTTGATACCCCCATAATGACGGTGCGGGGCATTGCGTAGTCTAGCTTTGAATGCGTTTTTCTTGACACTGGTTTATGCTACAATGCGCGCTTAGGCATCAAAAAATAGCCCTGAAATTCAGGGCTATTTTTTGATACCAAAGACGCATTTTTTGAAAGTACGGGCGCTTTGGAAAAAATGAAATACTAAAAAAACTTTTGCGACTACGCGACTGTACGAGGGGGCGGGGGTACTATTACAGTATTTACGGTAAGTTGTATTCAAGCTTTTAAAAGAAACACAATACAGTGAATAGTAGATAGTATGATGTTAGATTTATTACGATTAATCACTTTCAAAATCTTCCCACCTTTCACAATCCTCTGTGGTTGGCGGATTAAAGCCAGTCGCCCCACAAGTGTCCATTTGATGCGAGACTTCGATCGGATTTTCTGAAATAAACTTTAAAGTTTTCATAGGTTTGATTTGATTTTGATTTCAAAAATTTCAACATCAATTTTCTTTTAAACCCATTGATTCTTAAGCTCTTTTCTCATTTCCCACGATGACCCAAAATCACGAGTGACATTGAAATAAAAGTTACAACAATTTCTGCGTCATCTTTTTGATCTTATGTGTTTGTTTTACTCATTCAAAATGGCTGAAATGATTTTTCGTGGTTATTCTTTGTAAACAAAAAGAGATGGAAGGGATATAAAAGAGATGGGAAAGGGAAAGCTGAGTTTTTTTTTTCGAAATTTTAATTGTGTTTTTTATTTTCGTAGACATTTTGTAAAAAAAAAAGGTTTTGTGACTTGTGTCAAAAGAAATGATTTAAACTGAATCGAGCTGTAGTCTGTGAGTGTTTTCTAGAATTTTTATAAATACTATAATCTCCTAACTAGATTTGATTTCAAATTGATGGGCCGTGTTGTTCGACTTGCCAATGGAGGATGCGCTCGTTTACCGGGATGATTTCACTCAAATGGTGTTCAACTTGTGTCTGCTCCTCCCTACAGCCCCGATCTCAACCTTATTGAACATCTTTTTGCTTTGTGCTTAAGAATGTAAAGAATGTAAAAGCATTCTTTCTATTGCAATAGAAATCGTTTCTTTAATTTAATTTACTAGAAAGGGTGTGTTTCGAATTTTTGAGAGCACAAAGTACAGGCAGAGAGCAGTTAAGAATCGTTTAAACTAGAGTTTAACCCTACCGTAAATACTGTAACCCCAGCCCCATAATGACGGTGCGGAGCATTGCGTAGTCTAGCTTTGAACGCGCTTTTCTCGACACTTGTTTATGCTACAATGCGCGCTTAGATATCAAAAATAGCTGAAATTCAGGGCTATTTTTTGATACCAAAGACGCATTTTTTGAAAGTACGGGCGCTTTGAAAAAAAATGAAATACTAAAAAACTTTTGCGACTACCCGACTGTACGTGGGGGCGGGGGTACTATTACAGTATTTACGGTAGGTATTGTAAGGTATTGTAAGCTACAATAGCTACAATAAACGATATCTAACAGTACTGTTATCAAAGTTATTCAACCTACCGATTTGTCGGCATAATGTAATGATATAGAACACTGAGATTTTACAGTCTCTTTTTTAAAGTTTATTCAGCTTATACTTGTTGTTTCATTTTCATTTAGTAAATAAGGTTTTCGATTCTTAAAAAACACGAATGAATCATTTTCGAAAAAAAAGGGATTTCCATTGATTAGCCTGGTGGCTTAGTCAAGAAATTTGCATAATCGGTGCGGAGGAAATCAATTCTTTTTGAAAAAGCTAAAAGTTTGAACCCACGCAGACCCTGTCTTTTCATAAAGTTTACTCAACTCAGCCCCCTTTCGGACGGTCGGCTTATTTCGTGAACCAGGGCCGAACTCACATAACAATAATCCCAGCCACTCCACTCAATCTCATTATCGTTTTCATCGTGCACATTGGCATTCTCTTTTGATTTTGATCCGCCGTTCACTTTATCTTTATCAAGTTATGGTCAAGTTTTGAGTAAGGCATAGGGATACGTGTCGATGTAGTTCATTGATAGAGTATTTGCCTGGTAAGCGAGAGATCAAAGGATCGAAAGATCGAGAGACCAAGATCAAAGGTTCGAATCCCGGCGTCGACTATATTTTGTATTCCTAGCCAGAAAAGGACCGGCGTATTCAACTTTTCTTTGGTTTTAGAAACTTTTAAAAGCTTCTTGCTAGCACATTTCCGTCCTAGGCACCTTTCCTTTCATTTTATTTTCATCTTAATCAATACTATGGACATCTATAGAACCCGATGGACATTAGTAGATTTAAAAAAAGTACACAATAAACAGCCTGCAATCTTTGTACTTGAAATGAACTTATTTCTACAAATCTTTCGCCATTTTTTTTTCAATCTCAATTAGAACTTTTGCTATTTCCTATCAATTATCAAAACTTGTGTGTGTTTTTGTCACCATGGTCACTCAAAAAAACAAAATTCTTGTTCGAAAAGTTACAAGTTTACAAGAAGGAATGAAGTGCATTCAAAGTTTTCATCCGTTTATATTTTAAAATATCTATAGATAATAATAATGCTATAATAAAGATCATTTTTTGAAAAATTTAAATTTAAACTAACATTATCTCAAAGAATTTTGCTAAAATTTGCTAAAATTTGCTAAATGTTTGCTAAATGTTTGCAAAAACATCGTTTTTCGATCGTTGTTTTCGATGTTATGTTAGGTGAAAGCACGGTGACGAGTTGTCGGGTTAAAGGGGAATTAAAAATACTTCATTTTGACACGGAACACACAAAAAAAGTATTTGGGTGAATCGATTGTTACTGAAGGATTAGCGATTCGAGGGAAAACAGATGAGGAAGAGGGAAGGGGAGCTGACTGGTGGTCTTGGTCTTCGATTGGGTTATTCGGATTGTGTTAGGCGAATTCAAATGATGAAATCTTCTACAAGGTATATGCTAGAATTGAAAACAATTCTGATTTATTGATTACTTTAGCCCTGATGATTGGTAGGGCTCTAGCCCGATGTTGTTGAGTTGTTTCCCGGGTGAAGCAATTACCGTAAATACTGTAATAGTACCCCACCCCCCACGTACAGTCGCGTAGTCGTTTTGCTTCAATAACCTTCAAAAGTCAGGCTTTAATTCTACGTGTTTTTAAGTTCGCTTTTAAAACTTAAACTTTATGGAGTTTTTAAACCTTAATGATGCAAGTTTTTAAATGCAAAGAACGCAGATTCTTTTTGTCTTTTTTTTGTCGTTATCGCTTAAGCTAGCAACAAAAACATACCGTAAATACTGTAATAGTACCCCACGCCCATAATGACGGTGCGGAGTGTTGCGTAGTCTAGCTTTGGACGAGTTTTTATCGACACTGGTTTATGCTACAATGCGCGCTTAGGCATCAAAAAATAGCCCTGAATTTCAGCTATTTTTTGATACCAAAGACGCGTTTTTTGAAAGTATGGGTGCTTTGCCAAAAATGAAATACTAAAAAACTTTTGCGACTACGCGACTGTACGAGGGGGGGGGGTACTATTACAGTATTTAGGGTAGGAAGTCGTGATATTCATCGTACCCTCGACTTGATTGATCAATGACGGATAAGCACCACTTGAACAAAGCTATATTTAAGAATTAGTAGTTCAGTGAATAGCTACCGTAAATACTGTAATAGTACCCCACTCCCCTCGTACAGTCGCGTAGTCGCAAAAGTTTTTTTAGTATTTCATTTTTTTCAAAGCACCCGTACTTTCAAACAAAGCGTCTTTGGTATCAAAGAATAGCTGAAATTCAGGGCTATTTTTTGCTCCTTAAGCGCGCATTGTAGCATAAACCAGTGTCGAGAAAAACGTGTCCAAAGCTAGACTACGCAACACTCCGCCCCGTCATTATGGGGGTGGGGTACTATTACAGTATTTACGGTAAGCAGTTAAGCAGTTAAGCAGGCATTCTTCCTTTGGTTAAACCAAAAATTCCCAAAAATAGATACGAATAAAAACTCTAGTTAAGAGTAAAAAAAGCCTTTCAATATTCGGCTGGAGTTGGTGAAATTAAGTTCAGAACCAAAGCGCGAGAAAGAAAGATTGCGCCAGAAAGAATTTGTTTCCATTTCAACTATTTGAAAGAAATATTTCTATTTGAAAGAACGATTTCTCACTTAACTTTTCATATTATTTTTGATCTTTATCAACTTCTCGCCTTTCAATTTCCAAATTTCAATAAAATTCTTCAAAGCTTTTATGAGTAATTTTGCTTTCATTCAACAAATCTAATAATACTTTATCAAAAAAAAATTATATAAATCAATTTTCAATTTTCTTATAATACTAAAACTTAATTTTGTTTAGGTATAATGAACTTAAATCTATTTTTGGGATCATTTATTTTATTATTAATTGTGCCGCACACTGAGGGAACTACGTGGAATCAACTTGTCGACAGGATTACTGTAAGTTTTAGACAATCAATCAGACAAGCAGAAAATGAATTTAAATCAATTTACATAAACTATTTATGAATATATCTCTAAATCATTGATTTCAAGCGCTATAAAGCCGAGTTGCGACACTGGTGGAGGGTAACTCTTGCTTTACATCAGCTAAACTAATGACCTTTTTTGTTAGCTAAGTTCTAATCGGTAAATTGAAATGTCTAATATAAAATGTATTTGAAATTACCGTATTTCTTCGAATAGAAGACCGAGTAAAGAGTATCATCGCGTACGCCTGCGTAGCAGCCCTTTTTAAAATTTCTTTTCTGCATAAAAGCTTTCAATCAAGTGCTATAGGGCTGGAAAATGACTCAAAAATACCACATGAGCTAACCAGATTTTGAGCCATTTTCCAGCTCTATAGCACTTCATTGAAAGCTTTTATGCAGAAAAGAAATTTTAAAAAGGGCTGCTACGCAGGAGTACGCGATCATACTCTTTACCCGGTCTTCTATTCGAAGAAATACGGTAATAACTTTTTTAAGGAGGCCAAGAATGCATTGACTAATGAAGGAGCAACGGAAACCATTCAACCACCACCAAATCCACCCCGATTTTTAGAGGTAAATCATTGAAATAAAAGGGAAAATTTGAAAATTGAAGATTTTAATCCTAAATTGCTAATTTATAGCAATGTTTTGAGTCAATTCAAAAAGGAAAATTTTGCTTTAATCAAAGTTTTTAATCCTAAATTGCTAATTTAGCAATGTTTTTTTAGTCAATTCAACACGTCGATGTGACCAAATTGAAAGCCGGTTTGAAGAAATTAAACAAGCGAGCACAGGAGAGACAAAAAAAGAACGGGAAGAAAGATCAAGTCGATTCGAAAGTTATGCAAAGAATACAACAGGTAGATTCATTGAATAGATTGAAATTTGGTTAAAGTTAGACATGGGCTTTTTGTAGAAAATGAGTGAGTTCCACGTTTTAGCAAACAGCTTTTATTTTCTAAACAGTTAAAGTGAGACAATGCTATTTCTGCTATTAATATTATATGCTATTAAAAAGAAGAGATGTTTGCTAAAACGTGGAATTGACTCGTTTTCAACAAAAGGGTATAGCTAAAATTATGAAAAGATCATAAGATCTTTGTTTAACTTTAGAAAATCATCGAGAAAACGAATCAAGCGAAAATCCAGGATACTGGTGATAGCATTCATGAGGTTTGAAAGGATACTGGAAAGGATAATCACTCAATTTATAGCCACACTACAGTAAACTAGAGTATTCCGTTGAAAAGACTGAATATCTTTTACATAGATTTTTAAGCATGTCTTTTTAAGCATTTTAGGAGCACGTGTGGCTGACTGGTTAAGTGTCTTTTATCTTAATCGGAAGGTCGAGGGTTCGAACCCCACATGCGACATGGTCACCCCCTTCGGATTTCCTTTCCCTTCGGATTGAGAGGTTTTCTGGAGGGCAGTCTGGTGGTTGTGGCCCCAGTTCTTTAAAGTGACAAGCCACTCCTTCATCGTCATCTTCCCTTCACCACCAAAAAAGCTATTTAGTTCCCCATTGAGCTTAGGGTTAGGGAGCCGTCTGTCATGACGTGGGTTAAGTTAAGATATAGCCTAGTATTGTGTGTGTCGTTGTATTGTGATTGATATATTTCGTGTATGCGATAAATTCACCACTGGTAGCCCCAGTCGGTATTTTTTTTTTTTAATGTCAAAAAACTCGTTTCTAGATCAATCAAAAGTACGACCACGATGATCTTCTCTATCAAAAGGATATCATTCTTTCACAGTAAGTGATTCAAATTATTTACAAGTACCTTAGTTCTATGTAGTTGGATAGTAAGGATATCATTCTTTCACAGTAAGTTTCACAGTCTATCAAAAGGATATCATTCTTTCACAGTAAGTTTTTCAAATCATTTACAAGTACTTTAGTTCTATGAATGAATGTTTCTATCATAATTGGATAGTAAGATAGATTTTAGACAACAACTCGATCGCATTTTGATCGATACACAACAAGAGTCAAGCGACGAGAACCCAGTGCGGCGAAAAAGAAGACAAGCTGAAGCATCAAATGCCGGTTTATGGCCAAACAATCAAGTCTTCTACTATTTCGATGCAAACTTGAGTGGAGTTAAACAACTAAATCGTAAAGTTTAAAGTTTAGCTTCCACAGCAAGAAACGCAATTTTGAGCGGGATTCAATTTTGGGCAGAGAATACTTGTGTCGACTTTGTGGAGAGTGCCACAGCTGTGTAAGCTTTAAAAACATAGCAGTAGATCCGTTAAAAGAAACGCAATAAAAAAGGGATTCAATAAAGAATTCTTAAGATTAAGATTATCAATTTTAGTAATCGAATTCGTTTTGCCGCACTTGATGGTTGCTACTCGTTGGTGGGATTTATTGGCGGTGTGCAAGATCTCTCGATTGGGATTGGCTGTGAATCGGTGCGAAAAAAAGAAATCATATTAAAAGATCAGTTGAATTTGATTTGTTTATAGTTTTTTTTAAAAATATAAAATCATTTTTAAGATGGGAACAGTGTGCCACGAGATAGGGCATGCGCTTGGTTTTTGGCATCAGATGTCACGGTATGATCGAGATAATTATATCACGCTTGATTACACAAATGTTGATGTGAGTTGAAATGTTTGCATGCTTTAGCATTAAAGAAATCACTTTGATTTCTTTAAAATATGAAAATTTTACAATTTTACAATTTTAGCCAATCTATTATGGTCAATTTGATAAGGAAACGGTGAAAACGAATAACAACTACGGGATGCCATATGATTGGGCGAGCATCATGCAGTATGGAGCGTCGAGGTTTGTGAAATCAAGCAAGTACAAGAAATGGTAACCAATACCTGGACAAATCCAGTTAGTCTATACCTGGACAAATCCAGTTAGCCAATACCTGGATAAATCCAGGTAACCAATACCTAGACAAATACAGGTAACTAATACCTGGACAAATCCAGATAACCAATACCTGGGTCTAGCAAAGTACAAGAAAATTTCTAATCAAACTTCTAACATTTATTTCTACTCCAAAAGCTCTTCTTTTATTCATCTGATGCTTTCCAGAAAATGTTTTCATTCTTTTTCATACTTTCTTTTGAAAAATAATAAATACACTAATAAACCTATGATTTCCTTTGAATAAAAAGTGTTTTTTGCTAAATATCCATCTTTTTAAGTCAACTTCGGTTCACTTACAAGCAAATTCGAGAGTGAAAACACATGTCTCTCTCAAAAATCAATCAAAAAATCTCTACTAACAAATCCAGGTAGCCAATACCTGGACAAGTCCAAAAATTGGATGAATTTTCTGCATCAATTTCTCTAAAAATTTAGCTATATACCAAAATTTTTATGCTCTATTTTTTATCTATTGACACGAAAATAGGTTTCCTTGGCTAAACTGACTAAATCGGATCATCGAGCCGACTTTTTGACTACCCGAAATTAGGCTTCCAGAAAAAAAAATCGTGACATAAGACATATAAGAAAAATCGATAAGACATATTTTAAACTCTTTTTAATGTTTGCAGAAAAATGATTGGTCTTTTTAATGAAATAAACCGTAATTCTATTGATGCATTTGTTAGTTTTTAAACGAAAGTACGAAAAGAAAAGAAAAGACTTTCTGCACAGCCTAATACAACGTGCAAAAAGCTGTTGTACGATGCGACATAACACCGTTTTAATATTATTTTGCAGAAAGATAATTGACTTTTCTAATGAAACAAACCGTAGTTCAATTAGTGCATTTGTTGGTTTTAAACGAAAGTACAAAAAGAAACGAAAAGGAAAAGAAAAGACTTTCTGGACAGTTTAATAGCTATTAATAGCTATTAAACTGTCCAGAATTAATAGCTATTATTATATACTGTACTCTCTACAGTACTTCTAATAAGAAAGTATTCAGTGCATCGAATAATGGCCGACCGTCGATGATCGCCAAAGATTTGCATTATCAAGATGCGATGGGAAGTGATGTTGTCGCTTTCTATGACGTATCGATGATGAATGAAAGATATGGATGCAAAGGTTTGGAGGAATTTACTGTACTTACGGTAAAGATACGGTAACTGTTGTCTATTTGTGTAAAGTTGATACTCTAGTAAAATGTTCTGCCTTTTCCGATGTGGCAATATGTTTCAATGGAGGTTATCCACACCCAAGAAATTGCAGTATTTGTATGTGTCCACGTGGATATGGAGGATCACGATGCCAGGATCGGGTAAAGGACGCATATTAGCAACTTTAGCTTTATAAATAGCTTACTAGCTTTCTAGCTTACTTTCCAATGAGCAGATATTCAGAATATAATTAAAGCCAACTTTAGGCTCAAGCTGATGGTTGTGGTGATTACAAAAAGGCGTCTTCGAGCCCACAAAATTTGACCGTTTCGTTGACCTCTTCAAGCACTTCGGTCACTTTGAATAGCACTGAGTGCTCGTACGCTATTTATGTAAGTAAAAAAGGTCGAAAGTTTTACATAAAGATTTTCTATAGACTGATCCGGGTGAGCGAATCGAGGTGACAATCGTCGCGTTGAGTTCACCGGCTTGCGTAGATGGGTGTATCTATGGAGGGCTGGAGGTAAAAGCTGATCATGATGTGAAAATGAGTGGATACAGGTGAGAATCTCGAACTTTCTATCTTCTATTTAAATCTACATTTACCTGATATCTTTGTAATGAAAAAGATTGAGATCTTTTTGGATCCAAAACCAAAATCAAGGTTAGCAGGAAAGTTTAAGTATCTATTGTTTTTGAAATCTACCATCGGCTTTGCATTAACTCTATAGTTCTAATATAATGCTTTTAGGTATTGTTGTCGTAACGATGTGGGCCAAGTGATCACCTCGGCGTACAATTTCTTGCCGGTGATCAACTGGAGTCGATACCGAACGACGAGTTTCACGTTGAGCTATCGAGCGGGTAATACCAAAGCTTGTCCAAATCGTTTACACAATGATTCCCAGTGCCCGATTCCACTTCATCATCTGATTCATCAACAAAATTTTCCGCTCCCCAAATGTCGATTCTCAATAATTTGGGCGATGGACCGATCACCAATCCACCAACCACAGTACCGACAACGACGCTAAAAACGACAACGACGAAAACGGTGGGAATTGTAGAGGAGGAATGTTTGAAAAAAAAAGACAGGAAGATCAAGACTTTCTTAGCTTTACTGCAGGCTTGAGCCTAATAAAAAGTCTTTGACTCACAATCAGCCAGAAATCTGAGGCAGGCATGGGTTACAGGTCCTAGGGTTGGAAAATCCTGGGCTAGTCTCTAAGTTTAGCTTTATAGTTAGCGTTGATCAATGGTACATCGTAACATTGATCCGGTTTTCTGGAATATTCCGCTTATGGCTCAATAAAAGAAAGTTAGACATATGCTCGATCGTAAAATAAAGTTCATTTTCTAGCCGACTACAAAGTCTCGATGCCAGGATCACAGCAAGATGTGAGTTGAAAAGATAAAAGAAAAAAAGTAGCAAAGCTTTTTACAGGTGTATGACATGGCAATACTATTTCAACTTCTGTCAAACCTATCCAACACTCTTTAAGAAAACCTATTGTAAAAAGACGTGCGGTCTTTGTTAAAAATGGTAACTTTGGTCATTCTTTAGGATTCAATCACCGGTTCATTCATATGTGCTTGTTCGCTTTATGCTTGCTTGATTGTAAAATAAAGTTCATTTTTCTAGCCGACTATAACTTTATGATACTAGTTGACTATATTGCATTTTGTGATACTTTAATGCTTTCGCATTTGTCTAGTCTTTTATGGCTTTAAGCTTATCATTGTTAGCTCAAATTTCTTTAAATTTCATTTCATTAATGTAAATTAGTGCACAATTTCTTTTAAAATATCTAGAACGGGCAAATTTTTTCTCTTTTTTCTTGTCAATATATTGAAATAAATGGTGGCTCATTTTAGTAGACAATGTCGAAATGTTTACATTTAAAGCGCTACCTTACCCACCACCGTAACTCGATTTTACAAGCTGATTAGATCGAGTAGTAATAGGTTGATGCATAAGTCTTTTCGTTTTTTTCGTACTTCTGTTAAAAAGTAACAAATTCACCAATTAATCTATAGTTTGCTCTATAAAAAAAGTGTTTTTTTGTTCAATTTGCATCTTTTTAAATGAATTTCGGTTCACTTTCAAGCAAATTCGAGAGTGAAAAACGCCTTTTTCGTAAAAATCTATAAAAAACTCTACGGAAAAATTGGCTGAATGAATTTCTCTGAAATTTTGGCGAAATATCAAACTTTTTTTTCTCTATCTTTTATCTATTGACACGAAGATAGGTTTTCTTTAGCTAAGGTGTCTAAACCGCATCATCGAGTTAGCCCTTTTTGACTACCCGACTTCATACTCTCAAGAAAATCCAGGCATAAAATATTTTTAAACCCGTTTTAATGTTATTTTGCAGAAAAATAATTGGTTTTTCTAATGAAATCAACCGTAGTTTAATTGGTGCATTTGTTGGCTTGAAACGGCAGACGAAAAGGAACAAAAAGACTTATGCATCAACCTAATAGCTCGAAGTTAAATAAATTCTTTAAATTCAAGGTGTTCAAGGTTTTAAATTGAACAGTATCAGCAAAAAAACAATTCAATATTAAGATTGAAAAACCAACCATTCTTAAAGCAGCTAGGTGAGAGTGAGATGTCGTCAATCATCAACAGATACTCTGCCTCTACGTGATAAACGTTGAAAGTGAAGCCGACTTGGAAAGGTGAACGCTAAAAGAAATTCATCGAATTTACATAATTGTGATGAAAAATGTTTTTCCATGAGATTTGCTCACTTGTGGCATCAATTTGACCGCGGCTCGTTTCCAATCGCAATGCGATTTCCAATCAAGACCTTGCTCTTTCGGAAACAGAAGCTGCAACTCAATCTGGAGGAATTTTTTAGAGGAAAAAAGAACTAAATCTAGAACCTCATCTTCAGCCCCTTTGAATCCTTTGTAGATCTTCCATTCCAACATCTCGTGAGGCATTTTTTCGCAGTACCAGTAACGAATCTAAAACTTCAGATACGGCAGGTAAGTCACCTCAAAAGTTTTCTGCATTTTGAACTTACAAAACAAGTCTCATGTTTTTCATCATCATGACTGACGGTGGGCGGAAAAAATGGAGATTGGAAGCGTTGAAAGAACGGGTTCTCATTTATTCTGCTTTTGTAGTTCTTTTGGAATTTGTGTGAAGCCCAGAGGAAATGTCCTGAATAAATGATTGACAATAGATTATTGTAGATAAGATACAAAGGTAAAAAGTACACTTTCTGGCACTGATCACCTTACCTTCAATCGTTCCCGGGGTTTGATCGCGATGTGGAATATTTGCATATTCCCAGTCTTTCTAAAAATAGAAGTCGATATAGAAATGTATTTTGAATGATTTTTATTTATAAACCCTTGAAAGTTTTGATTGAATTATGCTAGTTATGCCTTCTTTCACTCACCATAGCATCTCCATAATTCGCTTTGACGAGTAGATCATCGGGCATCGGATCGAAGTGATGGAGTCTGAAAAGTGGTTTTGGGTTAAGGTCTAGGAATAGATGATTAGCACTCAATAGTTAAGCGATACAGATAATAGATAGCACTCAATAGTTAATCAAAAGGATGACTAACTTTTAGCCCCCCCCCCCCTAGGCGGGGGCTAAAAGGAATAAGGAAATAAGGAATAAATGGAATAAGGAGGGGCCCTCCTTATTCCATTTTACTCTATTCACAAACCTTTGCGTAATCGTGGTCCAATCTGGGCAAAGGGTGGCATTGTTTTCGAAATCGCATCTCGACCCGGGCACCGGCCATTCTAGACCATTTTAGTTCTCAGAGATAAAACAAAAATGATTATTGGAACTGATTCAAAAACTAAGGCTACTAGCAACTTGGGCTGATTTGGCTTGATTTTGGAACTCATGTAGATCAATTAAAAGCTCTACCAAAGTCAAACTAAAAATTGAATCGACTCTTGTCAGGAAATTGAAGAAATCCCTGGTTACTATATTTTAATAGGCATTGTTAAAATTTTTAACAATTCCAGTGTTTTTTTTCCACTTACCACAATTTTCTTCATCATCGCCGTGTGGACAGTCGACATGTCCGTCACAGACCCAGGCAATGTTGATGCACTTTTTGATAGCTTTCCCCCTAAACTTCCATGATCATTTGCCGAGTAGCATATTTAGAATCTATGACTAGATCGATAAAGTTTGCGATAAATTACAAATACTAGCGTGTTGAGAATGTTTGGGAGCACCGAAAGTGTTTGTTTTCGATTTCGTCTCGGTGACATACACACCGAGTCGGTGCCCTATAAGCTACTGTCAAGTTATTCTGTTGATGGCCTGAATATCTTCGAAATACGTCTATAAATCAATGCTAGTCGCAAGTCATTCGAAAAGTTTTCCCCCTTTGATTTCTTGCTCTTTCGCTGAGTTAAATTGCGCACATTGCACGCTTTTTTTGAAAGTCTTGTCACACAAAACTTACTTGCACAAATACTCCTCCTTCTCCTCGGGACAAAGATCTTTGAAGTCCGGGTGCTCTAAAATCGAACGCGTTAAGTTTCAACGTTAAAACTTGATATTTGGGTGTTTACTGTTTTGAGCCGTTAACTTGACGAGTTTTCTTTCAATGCGCGTAAAAGATCCATGATATGACGTTTGTTATCTATTTCCATTTTGTAGGGATAATTTTAACCTCCTGTCTATTCTAGAACTTCTACAATATGATAGTTGTCAATATTTGTATTTTTAGCCTGATGAGCGTGGTTTTGAAAGAAGTCACGCGGAACAAGCAAACGAATGAGGAGAAACGCAAGGAACGCCAAAAGGAATTGTCGGAGGCTCTCAACAAGAAAGCTCAAGAGCGTTTGGCACAAGAATCTGGACGATCTGAAGTGAAGAAGTAAGCGTTTTTTAATCTATTTGTGTTATTCTGTCTTTTTAGGGCAGTGAAATCGAACGTTTCTTACAAGAGCTACGACAGGTTTCCTCAAGATGCTGAAGTTGAAGGACTGGTGATTCATGTTGGTAGGAAATGTAATGGTTTTCAAATTTTATATGGCTACTTTAGATCGTCGTCATGATTCGGTCATTCTTCCGTTGTTTGGAATCCCAGTGCCTTTTCATATTTCTATGATCAAGGTTTGTTGTTGTTTAGAGAGTCTCTATGTGTTTTCGTTTCAGAATTGCTCCACTTCGGTTGAGAATGACACGATGTACCTTCGGATCAACTTCGCACACCCTGGAGCAAATGTTGGAAAGGAAAATGTGCCTTTCCCTCAGCCACTCGCGACATACATCAAAGAACTGACTTTTCGGGCGTCTACAGTTAAAGAGCATGGACAGATTGCGGCTCCATCGAACAATCTCAATAATGCTTTTCGCTTGATCAAGGATATGCAGAAAAAGTCTCGCGCTGAGGAGGTTTGTTTGTTTGGCTTTTATCGAAGTTTAGTTGTTTTAGGCAGAACAACGCGAAAAGGAGGGCGCTGTGCTTCAAGACAAGCTTATCATCGCAGCAAACAAAGTCAACCCAAAGTTGAAGGAGCTGTATGTTCGTCCGAATATCATCTCCAAACGAATCTCTGGATCACTCGAGGCTCACACCAATGGTTTTCGATACACATCATTGCGAGGAGACAAGATTGAGGTTCTCTACAATAACATTCGACATGCATTTTTCCAAGTAAGCTGCTATAAACTAAGCGAACCTAATTGATTATTTTAGCCGTGTGACAAAGAAATGATCATCTTGCTGCACTTTCATCTCAAAAACCCTGTACTATGGGGAAAGAAGAAACACGGAGACATTCAATTCTTCACCGAAGTTGGAGAAATTACCACCGATCTGGGAAAGTATCATCACATGTAAGTAATTATTTTACGAAACGTCCACTAAAAGTTTGTTTAGGCAAGACCGTGATGACGTGGCTTCGGAACAAGTGAGTGACGATGGTGGTTTTGAAATGATTTTAATGGTTTAGGTAGAACGCGAAATGCGACGAAAGCTCAATCAAACGTTCCAAGCTTTTTGCGACAAAGTGGTGAAACAAGCCAACGAGGTTTTCGAGTTCGAGACGCCATTCAACGATCTTGCTTTCTGGGGAAATCCAATGCGCAATAGTGTCATGGTAAAGAACTTACATAGGTAAAAAATAGTTTTTGTTTATTAGTTGAAACCGACCTCTTCATGCCTTGTCAACCTCACGGAATCTCCTGTATTTGTTATTTCACTCGACGATATCGAATTGGTGCATTTCGAGCGAGTGTCATTCCAATTGAAGAACTTTGATATGATTGTTGTTTTCAAGGTTTGAAACGAAGTTTTTATTATCAATTTTATGATTTTGGGATTATCGCCGTAAAACGCAAATGATTCAACAAATTCCGACGACTTCTTTGGATGGCATTAAAGATTGGCTGAACTCGTGCGACATCAAGTACACAGAAGGAATCCAATCGCTCAACTGGCCAAAGATTATGAAAACGATTGTTGATGATCCCGTGGTGGGCAATTATATTTTTGGCATGTTGATTCAATTTTAACTTCAGGATTTCTTCCAAACCGGTGG